ACTGGAATTTTGATGGGGATGACACTGAATCTGCAGATTGCATATAGTAGTATCGCTGTTGTCACAGCACTCCAGTGACCCAAGCACACAGGAGGTTTTCCTATCCTCTGCTTTCCTCGGTGTCTTTCCTTAGTGTGCTCAGACTGCTCCCCATTCATTGATGAGCAGTTTCTAAAGGTTATCAGTTTAGGACCGAGGACTCTGGAGTTCTCTTCTCCAGGTCCTTGGTTGGTGTTTGAGTCATGGTTCTTCTGAACATCTCTAGAGAGTCCTGGGCCCTCCCCATGGCAGTGTGTGCTGGTTGTGTTGTTTTCTTTTGTTTTTCGAGACAGGGTTTCTCTGTAGCCATGGATGTTCTGGAACTCACTCTGCTGGCCTGCCTCTGCCTCCCCAGTGCTAGGATTAAAGGCATGCACCACCACTGCTCAGCCAGAAGGCTTGACATCTTCAAGTAATCTCAGTTGCTAGGAGCCAGGGAGCGTCCACTCAACAAAAGCTGACAGACTCATAGTGATGAGATGCCTAAGAATTCGGTGTGAGACTCACCTGGGAATTGTTCAGGGGTGACTCGGGGCAGTCTAGTGGCTGTTGAAAACAGAATGGTTGATGGTTGTCTGGAGACGCAGGCCTCACACTGTGGCAAAGGCAACTTATCATGTCCATCTGAGTGTTTGACAGAGCGGCTCGGGTGTGCTGAAGCACAGAAGGCAGCTGCAAATTCCAGGCCAGTGAGGGCTGCTTCCTGCTTCCTGTCAGCACTGGGCACAGGGCTCCCTGGCACCTTGCCTGCCCACACCCCCTTCTCATGGGGACCATTTTTTTACAATGTTATTGTATCCAAGCGTATAATGTTCGATATTAATGACATTTGAACAGTGTGTCTGGTTTCTTTCCCCTCCCAGCAGCTTCCTCACCCCTGACTGTTGACTCTCCTCGAGTCTAAGAGCACCCCTCCCGTCCTTTCTCTCCACCCCGTAGACCTCTCTGTTCTCCTGTGTGGAGTTCTCGGCTTACTCACTGTTTTCATGTATGCATGAATATAGTACAGGAAGAAGAGCCCACTGCTTGTGCCTCTTTTTTAAACTAAGTAGTGTGCGCGTATTTTGAGGGTGTGCAAGCATGTGGTGGTCAGGAGCCATTTTGCTGCTGGAATCTGTTCTTCCCTCTTACTGTGGACTCTGAACCTTGAACTCCGGTCATCAGGCTTGGCAGCATACACTTTTACCATTGAGCCACCTGAGTTTTTGTCACCCCAGTTAATGCTGTCCTTTCCAGAGCCATCCATTTCCTTGCAAAAATCACAACGTTATTTTTCTTTGCAGCTGAATAATATTCTATTGTGTGTATGTACCACTTTTTTAAATTTATTTTTTGCTTTATTATTTTATTGTATGTGTATGGGTGTGTTTCCTGCATGCTTACCTGTGCAACACTGTGTGTGCCTATGCTCAGGGAGGCTGGTGAGGGCATTGGATCCCCTGGAACTAGAGTTAGATGGTCATTAGCCACCATGTGGGTGCTGGGACCAAACCTGGGTCCTCTGGAAGAGCAGCCAGTGCTCTTAACCCCTGAGCCGTTTCTCCAGCCCTATACGACATTTATATTCATTCATCTGTTGAGGGACACCTAGGCTGGCTCCATTGTCTTGCCATCAGGAATAGGGGACCAGTGAGCATGGATGACAGGTGTCTCTGTGGCAGGGTACAGAGTCCTTTGGGTAATTGACCAGGAGTAGTATAGCTGGGTCATACGGCACTCTGTCTTTAATGTGTGGGAGTGTGTGAGAGTGTGAGTGTGTGCGTGCGCGCGCTTGCTCACGTAAGCAAGCAAGCGTGTGTGTGTGTGTGTGTGTGTGTGTGTGTGTGTGTGTGTGTGTGTGTGAGAGAGAGAAGGAGGGACACACAGAGAGACAGAGAGATACATACATACATACATACATACATACATACATACATACATACATTCTGGGAGCACTCAGTTCTTCAGAGAATGTGAGGCTCAGTGTAAACTTGGAATTTTCCAGAGTCAGATAACAGTATGAGAGGATCTCTTTAATCTAAATCTGTGGTGGATAATTTCAGATTTGAAGTTTCCTTTATCCACACTTTTCTGGGATTGAACACGTCTTTATGTTGCAAGGCAAGTACTGAGCTATCAACTGAGCTATCTCTCCCCTCGCCTCCTTTTGACGGAAGCCATACCTCACTTCCTTCTTAGAGACGCTTAGACATGATCAAGTGCCAGACATCGGACAGTCCCATGGGCTTGAAAGCGCATCTCCATCTTCCCATGCCCCTTCTCATGCTGCCTTGGTCCCCAAAGCCTAGAGAGGAATGCGCTGAGGGACTTCAGAGGGGACGGTTATGGCATGTGACCAAGTGGAGCCTGACTCTGAAGGCAATTAGAAATGTCGTCAAGGGAAGTGAGTGCCACCGTGCAGGGTGCATGCAAGCAGGCATACATGCCAAAGCAGACACAGCACAAATGGATACAAAGTGGTTCCATAGAGCCTCGATGCCCTTCAGAGGGGAATCAAGCTGGGTGGTGGCGGCCATGCCTTTAATCCCAGCATTGGGAGGCAGAGGCAGGAGGATCTCTGTGAGTTTGAGGCCAGCCTGGTCTATAGAACGAATTCCAGGACAACCTCCAAAACTACAGAGAAATCCTGTCTCAACCCCCCACCCCAAAAAAAAGAAAGAGAAAGAAACCCAGAGGGGAATCAATGGGGGAGACCACCTGTCTCAACCACTGTCCATCTGAAGTTGCTAAGTGAGACAGAAAACATGTTTTGGTGTGTGTGAGCGTGAGTGCATATCTCTGTGTGTGCACGCACTCATTCCTGTGTGTGTGTAGAAAGGTCAGGTGTCCTGCATTATCACCCTTTACCTTATTCCTTGTAGATAGGGTTTTGTAGCATGAGAAATAAAAACCCAGAGACAGATATTGGGGTTTAAGCTGAAGATCAGAGAAGCAAAGCAGCAGCCACTAGACAGCTCTTACCTCTACCAAGGCTGAGGCAATTCTGATCTCAGTGTGGCTGGAGACTGAATACCCTCCTGTCTTATACATCTCTCTAGAGCTGGGATTAAAGGCATGAGCTCTGTTTCTCTTTTAGACTGATTCACTCTCATGTAGCCAGGGATAGCCTTGAACTCACAGAGATCCATCTGCCTGAGTCCTGGGATTAAAGGTTTATGCCACCCCTGCCTGACCTCTATGGCTGACTAGTGTGACTGACTTTGCATTCTGACCTTCAGTGGCTTTATTAGATCATAAACAATATATCACCATAATTCCCCTTTTTTGTCCAATACAAAAAAGAAAGCTATAACTAATATAAGAAACATCATGTACAGTAAGTAAAATAACTATATACAATATATACAGGCAATAAGTACATCAACAATTTCTAGTCCATTTGCATTTGACAAATTCAGAAAAAATACTCCAATATCTGTCTAATATTGGTGAGTCCAAAAGGTTGTACCTAATTCACTTTTTATTCTAATTTGCATTATCAAATTATCCTTTAAAGTCTTTCAACCTTTTATACTTTGCACCTCTTTAATGAGTTTCTTTTCTGAGTCTGGTAAACAAGGGAAACTATAACTGTAACTATCTAGTCTCCCTGAGAGACCGAAAAAAGGAAATAATATTAACTGAGTATGCAGTAGGTGCGAGCAAGCAACTTCCAAAAAGTGTGAGAAGTAACAGGAACTGTTGGCCTCCTGGACAGTCGCCCGAGGCTCCTCTGCAGTGCGGGGCATCTTCAGCCTACTGGCCTAGCATATCTGACAGGCTTTTCTGTGAAGCAGGATTTTCTGAAGGACTGTCTTGCCTTGTCTTGGTAAGGTTTGCAGTCACTCTCTTTTGTGTCCTGCTTATCCAGTTGGGACAGCACACTGTCAGCAGTCGAGGCGAGGGCACTTCCTTGCTCAGTGACTTACTCTTGCCACAAAGAAAGTAAACCCCATATGGAGTTTCTTTGATGCCCATCATCTTCTCTCTCTGAAGTAGACTGATGCAGCCAGGAGCAGATATGTCTCACTGTCATAAAAAAAAAAGAACCTATGTTATTAAAACATGTTAAATGCCATATTCTGTAGATCTCTGAAATGTTTGAAGATGACCTGGCTTTCTAAATTATAAGTCTGTTTGACCTTGTAAACATACCTAATATGACTACCAATTTGATTGTAATAGGTGACTAATTACTAACCTGCATTTCTTTATTACCGTAAATAGTTAGTAATAATAAATTTCAAGGACTAGAAATTTGCATTACATTATTATTTTTTTGTTTTTTTACGAGACAGGGTTTCTCTGTTTTGGAGGCTGTCGGTCCAGCCTGGCCTCGAACTCACAGAGATCCACCTGCCTCTGCCTCCCGAGTGCTGGGATTAAAGGCGTGCGCCACCACCGCCCGGCTTTTGCATTACATTTTTAAATGAACTGTGTAGGTGCAATACCTTGAACAAGATTAGAAGCATTTATACAATATGTTTTAACAAATTAACCTCAAATTTATGTCAATATATAAAATTTGTATACAATTTTCAATCCAAAGTAAAATATTTAAAACTAGTAGTTACTTTGGTCGAGAGGTTTGAGACAGAATTTCTCTGTAGCTTTGAAGCCTGTCCTGGCACTTGCTGTGTAGACCAGGCTGTTCTCAAACTCAGAGAGATCCACCTGCCTCTGCCTCCTGAGTGCTGGGATTAAAGGTGTGCGCTCCCACCTTCCAGTTTAGTAGTTGCTTTTTCAAAAGTAGATTCAGTAATCTACCTTTTATCCTATCACATCTGTATCCCCCCTTTTTTCAAAACAAGATCCCTGAATCGAATCTCCTTTGTCTTTTTTTCCTGACCATTATCAGTAACAACTTGTAACCAACCAACCCTAAATAATGACAAATATCCATAACCTATTGAATGACCAAAAACCACCCACCCCATCTCTTGGGAATCTGGGTGTCATGTTCTTAAAGTTACTTCCTGCTGTCTGTGGGTAACGTCATCTTTAGGGGATCCTGAAAATAAATTTTTGGGTTAATTGTCAAGTCCTGGAAGAGGTAGCTGTATCAATTGTTCACTAGACCAGGCTGGCCTTGAATTCACAGAGATCCACCTGTCTCTGCCTCCTGAGTGCTGGGACTAAAGGCGTGCACCACCATCTTAACTATATCAATTGTTATCCAGTCTCTACATAATGGCAACGTGCAGGGATTTTCTCAAGTTCTGGCTAGAATAGTCTGTGACACTGGATCATCTTAGCTGGCCTCCTCAAAATTGTTCTGAGCAGTTTGTAGTCCAAAGCTGATCTTTAGTTGGTGTTTCCACCCTGCACTGAGGAGTGTCTTTAGTCACATGTTAGGACTACGTATCCTCCTCCTGCCTCACTTCCCAGTGTTAGGGCTGTGAAACAAAAGGACCAAATAAAGCCCCACATGTGAAGGACCAAGAAAATCATTTTAAAACTGATGCTGGGCTGCCTTTAAAAATCCTCTTAAGGGCTGGAGAGATGGCTCAGTGGTTAAGAGCACTGGCTGCTCTTCCAGAGGTCCTGAGTTCAATTCCCAGCACCCACGTGTTGGCACACAGCACCCAGGGGTGTAAGCCTAGCAACATGAGTTCAGTCTTAGAAGCCATGTAAAGGCAGAAGAAGAGAACCAACTTCACATTTATGCTGTGGAGGAATGGACATGTACACACACACACACACACACACACACTCACACGTGCAGGCATGCACATGTACACATGCACGCACTCACCAACAGGGCTGAAGAGATGGCTCAGCATCGACCCCATTTTCCGCCTACAGTCTCTTCAGTCTCAGGTTGACTGAGGAACATCAGCTCTCTGTTGGGGTGTGGCAAATCACAGCCACACTAGCAGGTAAAATTTACATACATTACCATAAAATCTACAATATAGATTTTTCACTACAGTGGGGTACAGGCCAAGGGGAGGGTGCCTGCCTAACAAGCATAAGGTCTAGTTATATCTCAGTACTACAAAAAGATGATATTAAGTTAATAGCCAGGTGTGGTGGCACACACGTATTACCCCATCACTCGGGAGGCAGAGGCAGACGGATCTCTGTGAGTTTGAGGCCAGCCTGGTCTACAGAGCGAGTTCCAGGACAGCCTCCAAAACAATACAAAGAAACCCTGTCTCAAAAAACAAAAACAAAACAAGACAAGTTTCTTCTCTGCGTAGCCCTGGCTATCCTGGAACTTACTCTGTAGACCAGGCTGGCCTTGAACTCACAGAGATCCGCCTGCCTCTGCCTCCCGAGTACTGGATTGAAGGCGTGCGCCACCACCACCCGGCGTTAACTTTTACTTTGTATTTAATGTGTGGGTGCTCTGCCTGCATGCGTGTATGTGCCACGTGTGTGCCTGCAGAGACCAGAAGAGGGCGCTGAGTCTCCCGAACTGGAGTCACAGATGGTTTTGGGCACCATGTGGGTGCTGGGAACGGAATCTGAATCCTCTGGAAGAGCAGTTGGTGCTCTGAGAAGTCTTCCCAGCCCTCCAAAATCAAATAATAAGCGATAAAGGAGTAAATTTGTGACCTCAGAGCTTTGCTGTGTTAGGGATCTGGGCAAGGATCCCACAAGCTGTCCAGGAGTGGCCTGGGGTGTCCTGCCTTCTTCCCACCTCGCATGGTTACTGACAGTCTAGCTTCTGCTGTTGTTAGCCTCAAGCCCTGACCCTCAACTCTTAGTTCCACCCTAGATGCCACCCTTGCCTGAGAGAGCTGCTGCGGCTTCTCATCAGCTAAGTGAAGCAGGAGGTGAAATGACAGCCTCCTTTAGAGCCACAGGTTCTGCTTGGAGTCAAGGAGAGAGAGTGGCATGGACATACACATCTTAGGTTTGACAAGTAAATGACGTCATCCCTTCTGATAACACTCTGGACTCAGAAGTCAGCTTCACTAGACTATGGTTCAGTGATCTGTAGGCAGCTGCTTGGGACACGGCCCAGTAATAGGCACAGGTTTACAGTTCCTCAGTGAAAGGCCAAGGGTGTGGCTCAGAGGCATAGCCCTTACCCAGAATCCTCCAGTGGGAGAATAGGGATATGAGTCAGTGGTAATGTTCCTGCCTACAATCTCAGGCTGGAGAACATAGAGTGCTTGCCTGGGTTTTAGTTTCTGTGGAGGCCATCCTCAGCTAGGGAGTGCGTTCAAGGTCAACCTGAGCTGCAGGAGACCCTGTTATAAAAGGGGGATGGGCAGGAGAGATGGCTTAGCTGTTAAGAGCATTTGTTGTTCTTGCAGAGGATCTAGATTCAGTTCTCATCATCCACATAGGGTTCCCAACCCTAACTCCAGATCCTCTGGATCTGAAGCCTCTTCTGACTTCTGTGGGCACCAGGCATGCACATGGTACACATACATACATGTAGCCACAACATTCATACACATAAAATTCATCAAAACATTTATTAAAAATAGACCCATTCTGAGCTAGATAGATGGCTCAGTTAGGAGTACTGGCTGCTCTTCCAGAGGACATAGGTTCATACCCAGCACCCACATGACAGAACACAACTCTCTGTAACACCAGCTCTAAGAGATCTGACTCTCTTAGATACACATGCAGGCAAAACACCAATGTGTGCTCACACACTCTTGCACACGTGTGCGTGCATACACACACACACACACAAAACCCATCTTGCCAGTGGCACACACCTTTAATTCCAGCACTCAAGAGGCAGAGACAGGAGGATCTCTGTGAATTTCAGGACAACCAGAGGTACACAGAGAGACCCTGTCTTGGAAAAAAAAAGACCCATCTTTAAAAATTTAACATGTTACACACACACACACACAGCAGCAGCAGCCGCCACGTCACTTGTGACTGTCCTTGTCTAGATTTGTTTGGTTTTGGCTTTTGAGATACTGTGTGTAGTTCTTACGATCCTGGGACTCACCCAGTAGACCAGGCTGGCCACGAAAACAAAGATCCACCTGCCTCTGCCCCTTGAGTACTGGGGTTACAGGTGTGCACCACCATGCCCGGCTGAATAGTCTTTATAAAGATGTGTTTTAGGCCTGGTGGTAGTGGCAAATGCCTTTAATCCCAACACTCAGGAGGCAGCCTGGTCCACAGAGAGAGTTCCAGAACAGCCAGGACTACACAGAGAAACCCTGCCTACAAAAACAAACAAAGATTTATTTATTGTATATTTATGTGCCTATGTGTGTCCTGTCTCTGTGAGTGTTTTCTCCCCGAGGTCCAGCTCCATCCAGACTGGACAGGAAACATCTGTTTGAATTAAGTGTAGCAGATGACACACATGGAGATGACCGTTTCTGAAAGAAGTTTGCTCACGGCTCCCCATAGGAGGAGCATCCCGTACCACGCACAGCCATGGCCGTAGGTGTGTCTGTCCCTCTGTGTTTGTCTAGGCAGAGGCCCAGACCTTTGGTAGGGTTTTCTCCAGAATGAACTGGATGGGCTAGGCAGGCCAGTTTGAGGCACCTGGAGCTGGATGGAGTAGATATGTGCTCTACTGTGGGTCACAAGGAGTGTCTGTTTGTCTAGGACCTGGGACATGATGAGTAAGGACAGGGAAAGGCTTGGTGGTGTGCAAGATGAGAGTTGTTGGAGTTTGAAGTAGCTGGTGTGCTTGCGGAAGGCAGTTTTGCTGTCTAGGAGTTAGCTGACCCCAGCCAAGCCTCACGCTGCAGAATGGAAGCCCAGCTGCCTCCTTACTTGATGCTGTCACCTGCCACACTTAGGACAACATGGGCGCCTCCTCTTCCTTACACTCTCCCCTCTGTGCCTGCTCACTCCCACTCTAGGAAGTCCCCTTCTCCTGCCATGCTTTTCCTTGGTCCCTCCTCACTAGCACTTGGGTCCCACTGTCTTCCATGTGACCTGCAAGCGTCTCTGAGCTTTAATCTGGGACCCTGTCTCCTCCAGCAGAGATTTCCTCAGATCTCCAGTGACTCCCCAGCCCTGTGCTAGTGCTGCTCCAGCCTACAGTCCTGGCAAGGGCCGCGCCTGTGCACTGATGACGCCTGCTCCTGTGCACTGTGCCTGTGCACTGGTGACGCCCGCGCCTGTCCACTGACTCTCTGATCCAGGTCCCGTACCATGCACAGCCCAAATGAGAGATGCTGGTTGCCTTGGTGTTTTCTTCCACCCAAAACCTCTCACCACTTTACATAAAGTTTCTGCAGGCCTGTTCCCCACATTAAATGTCTGTTATTGTGTCTATGCTGAGCCCCTGGCTAGCTGCATCTCAGTCCTGTTCAGGTCTGATGGCCTCCACAGTGGGTCCCCTGGCTCCTCCTTCCTGAAGTCTAACCTCCTAAGCACAGTAACTGCTATTTTTTTTCCTGAGACAGGTTCTCTCTGTAGTCCTGGGGCTCACTATGTAGACCAGGATAGCCTTGAACTCACAAAGATCCACCTGCCTCTGCCTCCTGCCTGAGTGCTGGGATTACAGGTGTGTGCTAACCCATCCAGCCCACAAAATAGATTTTTAAAATGTATTTTAGACTGGCGTGGTTGTCCATGCCTGTAACCCTAGCAGACAGAGGACTGAGAGAGATGAGTCAGGAGTTCAAGGCCAGCCTGAGCAATTTAGCAAGATGCTGTCTCAAATGGAAAAAGTAAAAAGGACTCCCCATGTAGTTCAGTGTAGGGGTTTGCCCAGTGTTGTAGGTGCTCTGGGTTTCATTCCAGCACACATACACACAATAATTTGAAATACAAATATTTGGTTCCTGCTTATAATCCAAACATTCCGGAATGGGAGGCAGAAGAACAGGAAGTCCCTGCCTAGCCTGAGCTACATGTCTCAAAAGAACCAAAAATTTCAAAAATTACATTTCAGCCCAGCACATGACATATACCTGCGGGCTGAGGCCAGGAAGCCCCTTAAGCCCGGGAGTCTGAGGCCAGCCCAGGCTACACATCAAGATCTCATATGAAAGCAATAAATAAATAAGTGTTTTTCATGTACGGCTAGGCAAACAGGTCAAAGGAATAGAATTGAGACAGGGTCTCCTGTCACCCCATTCCCAGGATGACCTTAGCTTCTGATCCTCCTGCTTCTATCCGCCCCCTAAATTCTGGATTGCGGATGTACACCCCCCACCTGGCTCCTGTGGTGCTGGGATCAAGGCCCTGGGTAAGCTCTACTGGTCGAGCGGCTTCCCCAGAAAGCAAAGAGGTGTTTGTCAGGTGCACCGAGACCTTCGGTGGGGAAAGGATAGGCGCAAGCAGTGGAGTGGCCCTGGAGTCTGTCCCCGTGGGATTTCTATTGCTGTGACAACCACCATGATGGAAAGCAGCTGGGGAGGACAGGTTTATGTCTGCTCACAGCTCAGTCATAATGCCATTCAGGCTTCCCTCCAGAAGGGTCTGATGGAGGAGGCGTCCTCTCCGCTGAGGACCTCTTCATCAGATGGGAGCCTGGCCCTGTGGGCAGAAGACTGACAGTACAGCCCCTCATCGCATTGCATACCATGGCTCAGCCAGGACACTGGGCGGGGGGCGAGGGTCCACAGTGGAGCAGTGGCATAGCGTGTGGGGGAGCTGGCTGCTTCAAGAGAGAGAGACACGCACACAGGGAGAGACAGAGACAGAGACAGATACACAGACACACACACATACACACACAGGGAGAGACAGAGACAGAGACAGATACACAGACACACACACATACACACACAGGGAGAGACAGAGACAGATACACAGACACACACACACACACACACACAGGGAGAGACAGAGACAGAGACAGATACACAGACACACATACACAGGGAGAGACAGAGACAATACACAGACACACACACACACAGGGAGAGACAGAGACATACACAGACACACACAGGGAGAGAGACACACACAGGGAGACACAGAGACAGATACACACACACACACACGGAGAGAGATACACACAGAGAGAGACACACACATAGGGAGAAAGACACACACAGGGAGAGACAGAGACAGATATACACACACACACACACACAGAGACAGATACACAGACACACACACACAGGGAGAGAGATACACACAGAGAGAGAGACACACAGGGAGAGAGACACACAGGGAGAGACAGACAGATACACACACACACACACACACAGGGAGAGAGATACACACAGGAAGAGACAGAGACAGATACACAGACACACACACACAGGGAGAGAGATACACAGAGAGAGAGACACACACAGGGAGAGAGACACACACAGGGAGAGAGACACACACAGGGAGACACAGAGACAGATACACACACACACACAGGGAGAGAGATACACACAGGAAGAGACAGAGACAGATACACAGACACACACACACACACAGGGAGAGAGATACACACAGAGAGAGACACACAGGGAGAAAGACACACACAGGGAGAGACAGAGACAGATATACACACACACACACAGAGACAGAGACAGATACACAGACACACACACACACAGGGAAAGAGATACACACAGGGAGAGAGACACAGGGAGAGACAGATACACACACAGGGAGAGAGATACACACAGGAAGAGACAGAGACAGATACACAGGCACACACACACACACACAGGGAGAGAGATACACAGAGAGAGACACACACAGGGAGAGAGACACACACAGGGAGACACAGAGACAGATACACACACACAGAGACAGAGACAGATACACAGACACACACACACACACACACAGGGAGAGAGATACACAGAGAGAGACACACACAGGGAGAGAGACACACACAGGGAGACACAGAGACAGATACACACACACAGAGACAGAGACAGGTACACAGACACACACACACACACAGGGAGAGAGATACACACAGGGAGAGACACACAGGGAAAGAGACACACACAGGGAGAGACAGAGACAGATACACAGACACACAGAGACAGACACACACAGGGAGAAAGACACAGAGACACACACAGACAGAGAGACAGAGAGACACATACACACAGAGACAGAGAGACAGAGACACACACACACACACAGACACACACACACACAGAGATAGAGACAGAGAGACACATACACAGAGACAGAGACACACACACAGAGACAGACACAGCGACACACTCAGAGACAGAGACACAGAGACACACACAGGGAGAGAGAGACACACACAGAGAGAGACACAGAGACACAGGGAGAGAGACACACAGAGATACAGACACACAGGGAGAGAGAGACACACACATACACACACACACACAGAGAGGTCAGATGTCTAAATATAAGAGCTAACTTTGTATAACTTGCTTTTTGAGACAACATCTTACTCAGGCTCTCCTGACACTTAGCGTGGCCTGTCTGCCACCTGAGTGCCAGAACTACAGGCGTGAACCACCACCCCTAGCCAACTTGTGAAACATTTAGAAGTGTTGACGCACGCCTTAACCTGGAGTTAGGCAATGATTTATTAGAAACAAAACTCAGCTGGGCTTCTCAGCACTCAGGAGGCAGAGACAGGTACATCTCTGAGTTCAAGGCCAGCCTGGTCTCAACAGTGAATTCCAGGACAGCAGAAAACAAAGCAAACAAATAATACTTAAATCCCAATCAAAAATCCAAAGTAGGTCATTTAGATTTTATCTAAATGAAAAATCTGGATCCAGGCAAGGTAGTATGTATCCTCTGTGATCCCAACACCAGAAGGTTTAGTTGCAGGATTGGGAGATAGGGCACGAAGATGCTACCTAAAAATAGTCAAAAAACAGACCCCCTGACCCTGTCCTCTGACGTCCACGTGTGCACTGCACTTCTCATACACGAACACATAATCATGGCAAAATCTAAGTAAATAGGGCCTGAGAGCTCTGGCTGCTCTTCCAGAGGATGCAGGTTCAGTTCCCAGCACCCACACGGCAGCTCACAGCTGTTCGTGACTCTAGTCCTAGGGCATCCAGCAAACACCCTCTTCTAGCTTCCCCAGGCACCAGGCACACACGTGGTATATAGACATACATTTAAATAAATAAATAAACAAACCATCAAAACCCTATCCAGGAAGTAAAAAAGACCCCTAGAAAGGAAGAGAGGTGCCTATCATAGCCAAATAACTGACAAACGGAAGCCGATAGACAGTAGTTATTAAAACTCACCCGGCAACAGCACCCCAGTTGATAGATGGGCAGGGCTGGGGCAAGAGCTCTAAGCCCTCTTCCGGCTCCCATGGGCACTATGCAGACATGCTGCATAAACACAAATGCAGACAAAACACATACATAAAAAATACATTTAAAAGCCGGGCGTTGGTGGTGCACACCTTTAATCCCAGCACTCGGCAGGCAGAGGCAGGTGGGTCTCTGTGAGTTCGAGGCCAGCCTGGTCTACAGAGTGAGTTCTAGGACAGCCTCCAAAGCCACAGAGAAACCTTGTCTCGAAAAACCAAAAAAAAAAAAAAAATACATTTAAAGAATCAAGTTAGCCGGGCGGTGGTGGCGCACACCTTTAATCCCAGCACTGGGAGGCAGAGGCAGTCAGATCTTTGTGAGTTCGAGACCAGCCTGGTCTACTGAGCAAGTTTCAGGACAGCCTCCAAAACAATACAGAGAAACCCTGCCTCGAAGGAAAAAAAAAAGGTCAAGCTAAGTCAGTCTTGGTGATTCACACCTTTAATGAGGTAGAAACCAGTGAGTCTGTGAGTTCAAGACCACTCTGGTCTATATATCAAGTTCCAGGACAGCCAGGGCTACACATTGCGACCCTGCCCCAGAAAACCAAAAATAGTCCAAGTTCAAGGTCATCCTGATCTACAAAGTAAGTTTCAGGACAGCCAGGAATATACAGAGAAGCCCTGTCTGAAATACGATGACATTAATCTACAGTTCTATTGCAGCATATGGACAGTCTTGTGTAGTTTTACAGCCACATTGCCTTAACACCCAGAGTGGAAACAGACCAACTCTTATCAAGATGACTGATGGCTGAGTGGTTCACGTGGTAGAACACTTATCCTAGCATCTCAGAACTCCAATTGAAGCAGAAGGATTGGGAATACAAGGCTATCTTTGGTTGCGTAGGGAGTTGAAAGCCTGTACTTGAGACAGTACCTTGGGAAAAGGGCTAAGAGGGCTGCAGAAATGACTCAGTCATTAAGGGTACTTAACACGTATGGTGGCACAGACCTGAAATTCCAGAATTCAGGAGGTAAAGGGGGATCAGAAATTCAAGGTCGGGCGTTGGTGGCGCACGCCTTTAATCCCAGCACTCGGGAGGCAGAGGCAGGCGGATCTCTGTGAGTTCGAGACCAGCCTGGACTACCAAGCGAGTTCCAGGACAGCCTTCAAAGCCACAGAGAAACCCTGTCTCGAAAAACCAAAAAAAAAAAAAAAAAAAAAAAAAAGAAATTCAAGGTCATCCTCAACTACATGGAGTTGAAGGTGGCCTGGACTGCATGCGAGTCTCAGAGAAGGGTGGGTGAGGCTATGGCTCGGCAGGTAAGGGCACTCAGTGAGCAACCCTGAGAAAGGACCTGAGTTCAGAGCTTGGCACCATCCTGACAAGCCAAGTATGACCTCAAACGTCTTGGCCCTCCTCTCTCTGAAGTGCAGGGATGACAGTGTGCAATGTGGCCTTTCTTTCTAATTTGTTGAGACAAGGTCTTACTGTGCAGCCCTTTCTTGCCTGAACTCATTATGTCAACCGTGCTGGCCTCAAACTCTCAGAAAGCCACTAACATTTCTGTTGCTGTTGAGCAGGGGTCTCCCTGGTAGCCCTGGCTAGCATGGGATGCAGAGTAGGCAGTCTGTGAGGTGGCAGTCTACCAGGCTTAGCCTCTAGAGTCCTGGGATTTAAGGCTCATGCCACCATGCCCAGCTCCAAACATTTCTGATCCAGTAAAGTTGATAATCAAAGTTCAGCATCACAGATTACACATTCCTGTTTTAATTTTACATGAATCAAAGTGACGTGGCATACTTTGCCCTGTCTTTACAGGGTGTGACCAGTGTCACAAGACCTGGCTGGGCCTAGTTTCTTGGGAAGGAGGACCCTGTTCCCTACAGGCTAACTCCCTCACCACACCTCTGCTGCCTCTTTCAGAAAGCATGCCCTGAACTGCCATCGGATGAAGTCTGCTCTCTTCAGCGTGCTCTGCGAGATCAAGGGGAAGACAGGTAGGCAGTGCTAAGACTGTCTGCTCCTGCCTCATGTGCCGCACCCTCGGCCCCTCCACGCTCACAGTTCTGCCATCTTTCAAAATTCAAACAACAGAATTTTATTCTCACCCACGTGTCCAGGGTTATCCCCATGGATGTCTTCTACCTTCACAAATATTTGTGTTTAAGAAGTGGGTGGTTTCCTGGGCGTTGGTGGCGCACACCTTTAATCCCGGCATTCGGGAGGCAGAAGCAGGCAGATCTCTGTGAGTTCGAAGCCAGCCTGGTCTACAGAGCAAGTTCCAGGACAGGCTCCAAAGCCACAGAGAAACCCTGTCTCGAAAAACCAAAAAATAAAAAATAAAAGAAGGGAGGTAGTACACAGGACCATGGTGTCCTCTAGGCCCAGGTTGCTTCACAGAGCCATGTTTGGATCCATGGCCCAGCAGCAACCAGGGTGTAAGTTAATGCCCATGGCTCCTGTTACCACCAGGGGCTGTGCAGATGCCCAGGGTCTGGACAGATACCTGAGACCATGTTGGTGTCCAAGGCCTTGCTGCCACTGATGCCATACTGATCTGGACGGCCTGTGCTACCACTGGGGCCATGGTGATATCCAGGCCTGGGCTGCGTCTGTGGTCCTGCTGTAGCTGGTATCTGGAATGATAGCCATGACCCTGGTACCATGCATGTTAAAACTCAAGGGCCATGCTGACCCAACGCTGGAGCTGGCTCTGCCCCTCACTGGACACTGCAGCAGGAGAACTGTCCCCTCCAACTCAGGAGAGACGGCCCCCACCCCCACCATAGGTGTGGGGAGCTGGCCCTGAGAGCATGGGCTAGGAGAGCTGGCCCTGCCCTCACCTGAGGGGTCAGTTCCAGTGACCCAGGCCCACATCCTGGGCCTTGGATTGGCTTACTTCCTGGGCTCCTGTCTGGCGCGCTGGAGCATGCACAGGGACCGGCCTGGCAGAGCAGCCGCGGCGTCTCCATGACTCAGGGCAGCCGCGAGAGGGCTGAGAGCAGTTTCGGTGAGGCTCCACCAATGAAGCTGTGCCAGAGGCCTTGAGCCAGGCCAGTGACTCACTGCAGTGGACACTTTGTGGGCGGAGCTGTTTGGACAAGGGGCACACTGCCTGACACACCACAGCGCCCAGTGCCACCAGGGTGAATGAGGAGTTATTGGAGACAGAGGACGGAAGTGGGGTTTCCTTGTTTGTTTGTTTTTAGTTGGTTTGGTTGGTTGATACTGCTCGGGCAAGGGGAGGATATGGAGGGCTTGGGAGGTGAGCAGGTTTGGGTGCATGCTATGAAATTCCCAAAGAATCATAAAGAGTCATGTTGAAGAAGAAGGAGAAGAAGGCGGTGGCATGGGCTAGCGGGACAGCTCAGTCCATAAAGGCACTTGCCACTCACCGTGTCCAACCTGAGCTCCATCCCCTCGGTGGAAGAAGAGAATTGGCTCTGACCTCCATATATATGTGTCGCGGTACATGTCCACATCTCACAAATAAAGAAGCGTGCTTAAATTCGATGTAAAAATTAACAATAATTAAAAGGGAGGAATCCTAGCACCTCTTGAGGAAGATCAAAAATTACAGCTTAAGATCTAGGCCGGAAAACATGAGTTCCTGTCTCAAAAAAGAAACAAGCAAATGAAAAAAGGTGTGGTTGGGGACATGGCTTAGTGCTTAAGTCGCTTGCCATGCAAGCATGAACTGGAGTTCAGATTCCCAGACCTATGTAAATATGAGGCTGGCCTGGGAGCTGCCTGTAACCATAATGAGATGGGATCCAGGGTCGAGCTGCCTGTCTAGACTAGTCAGATCATGAGTGATGGGTTCAAGTGAGAGCACTTAACTCAGTGTGTAAAGGGAGGGGCTGCAGAGATGGCCCAGGGTTTAGAGTGCTGGTTGCTCTTACAGAGGGCCTAGGTTCAACTCCCAGCACCTTTGTGATGACTCACAGCCTCCTGTAACTCCAGTTCCAAGGGGTATGAAGCTGTCTTCTCACCTTGCAAGCAGGCAGATCTCGTGTGCACAGACATGCATGTAGGTAAAACACCAATACCTTATAAATCAAGGAGAGCATTGATACCAACCATGGACCTTCTCTGTCTCTGACTCTGTCTGTCTGTCTCTCTCTGTGTGTCTCTCTCTGTCTCTATCTCTCTGTCTGTCTCTCTGTCTGTCTCTCTCTCTGTGTCTCTATCTCTCTCTGTCTCTGTCTCTCTCTGTGTCTCTATCTCTGTCTGTCTGTCTCTGTCTCTGTCTCTCTGTCTCTCTCTGTGTCTCTATCTCTCTCTGTCTCTGTCTCTCTCTGTCTCTGTCTCTCTGTCTCTCTCTGTCTGTCTCTGTGTCTCTGTCTCTCTATGTCTCTGTCTCTGTGTCTTTCTGTCTGTCTCTGTCTGTCTGTCTCTGTGTGTGTCTCTCTCTGTCTCTGTCTCTCTCTGTCTCTGTCTCTCTCTCTCTCACCCACCCATACCCACTACATACACACATAAGTACAAAGAAAAAGCCAAGCCTCAAACTCTGATCCTTGTGCCTCAATCTTTCGAGTGCCGAGATGTCTGCTTCATCAGCCCGATAGCTCCAGGCACTTCCTGCGAAGGCTGTGCACTCTGGCGCTTTTGCAGCAGTTTGTTTCATGGAGGGGAAGGCTTCATGTACATCTGTTTCATGGAGGGGAAGGCTTCATGTACATCTGTTTCATGGAGGGGAAGGCTTCATGTACATCTGTTTCATGGAGGGGAAGGCTTCATGTACATCTGTTTCATGGAGGGGAAGGCTTCATGTACATCTGTTTCATGGAGGGGAAGGCTTCATGTACATCTGTTTCATGGAGGGGAAGGCTTCATGTACATCTGTTGTACCTTATGTCATAGTGTCACACTCACTGAGAGGCTGAATGGTGATCTGCTGTGTGCTTTTCCGTTTTGTTTGAGACAGAGCCTCTTATCTCAGGCTAGCCTCAAGCTAAGTAGTCGAGGCTGGCCTTGAACTTCTGACTCTCCTGTCCTGCCTTTGCCTTGCCCATGCTCAGGTGCCGGGTGTGCTCCGCTGACTGAGGTGTAGCCGGTGCTGTGTATCTGGTCCTGGTCCATTGCGAACAGTGCTGCTGAGAGCAGGGGTGCGTAGGTCTGTCCAAGGAGAGCCCAGGCCCTCGCACGCACGCGCTGTGCTGTGTTAGTCCTTCCGCCTGCTGCGGTGACAACAGCGCCTGGCTACAGCAATGTGAAGAGGAAGAGTTTGCTGTGGTCCCTGGTTAAGGCAGCGCAGTCAATCCCACCAAGCGGTGGGAAGCTTGGTGGCAGCAGTGGCTCTGGGCTGTACAGAAGCAGTTAACCAATACTAATACTTCCCGTGTCTACCGCCCTGCAAGTCCACACTGCCCAGTTGGGGACCTTGTGCTCAGACACAACAACCTGGACCAAGCCTGGCGTTGGTGGTGCACGCCTTTAATTCCAGCACTCAGGAGGCAGAGGCAGGGGATCTCTGTGAGTTTGAGGCCAGCCTGGTCTACAGAGAGAGTGCCAGGACAGCCTCCAAAACAATGCAGAGAAACCCTGTCTCAAAAAAAACAAAACTAAACAAAAGACCCTGCTCAGCTTGTTGTGGTCATGTCTGCCTGTCATCCTCAGGAGGTGGAGGCAGAAGGATCAGAGTTTAAGGTCTAGCCTGGGCCACATGAACACTGTCTCACACCACCAAAAATTAATAAAAGCTGGGCACAGTGCTGCCCACCTTTAGTCCCGGCACTTGTGAGGAGACAGGTGGATCTCTGCAGAGTCCAAGGCCAGCTTTGTCTATATTGTGAGTCTAGATTGCTAAGGCTGCACAGGGAGACCCTGTCCCATACAATTCCAATAAAAGAGGAGAAGGGGGAAACAGTTCCGTCTTAAGAGCAGGGTTTTGCTACCATGTTAATTCCTGGACTTCCTTGGGCTGCTGAGGAGGCAGCAGGATTGCCTGCTCTCAGCATGTCCTCCAGTGGTCTCCTCGCGTTCCTTCCAACCCAGAAGGCCACGTCTCCCCAGCGCCACCATGCGGCCTCCTTGGTTTACACTCGTTTTCTCAGTTTCTTTTCATTTCTTAAGTCTGTAAATTAAAATTTTTAATTTTTTTGGTTTGTTTGATTTTTTTGGTTTTTGTTTTGCTTTACTTTATTTTTGTTGTTCTCAAGAAAGAGTTTCTCTGTATACACTTGATTTTCTGGAACTTGTTCTGTGGACCAGTCTGGCCTCAAAACTTGTGGATTCTCCTGTTTCTGCCTCGTGAGTGCTGGGATTAAAGGTGTGCTGATGGGATGTCCTTCTGTATATGTTTCTCTTGTTGGTTGATGAGTAAAACACTAATTGTCCAGGCAGGAAGTATAGGTTGGGCTAGGAGATGAGGAGAATTCTGGAAAACGTAGGCAGGCGCAGTCGCCATGTGAGACCAGGAAGATGAGACCATGTGGAAATGCATAGATTAGTAGTAATAGTTAATAATTAAGACAGAGCTAGCCAATAAGAAGCCCTATACACTGGTTAACAGTTTCATAATTAATATAGTATCTGTGTTTATTTGGGGCTCAAGGGTGGTGGGACCCTGCCGGGAAGAAAATCTCCATCAACAGTGTGCCACCACCACCTGAAAAAAACTTAATTTTTTTTCTTTTGGTTTTTTGAGACAGGGGTTCTCTGTATTGTTTTGGAGGCTGTCCTAGAACTTGCTTTGTAGACCAGGCTGGCCTCGAACTCACAGAGATCCGCCTGCCTCTGCCTCCCGAGTGCTGGATTAAAGGCGTGCGCCACCAACGCTCAGCTTGAAAAGATTTAATTTTTTAAGTTAAAATGTAATTACACCGTTTTTCTCTCCCTTTCCTCCAACTCTTCCTATGTATCCCCCCTCCCCCTCTCAAATTCCTGACCTGTTTTTAATCATTGTCACATACACACAGAGAGAAAGAAAGAATGCTTGGAAGACTGACCGCTTGGCACTGGATATGCAATCAGGAAGCTCATGCCTGGGAAAGACTGACTGTGTCTGTCTGTCTCTCTCTTAAGTGTCCCTAGTCAGCTCCCTAGGACTGGGACCCTGTGAGATTTCCCCGCTCGCGTTAGTTGGTGCTGTCCTTATCCAGGTCCTGTTGAAGCAGCCATGTTGTCAAGGCTCCATGTGTGTGGCTTCCTGTCATTTGGAGGAGACACATTCTTACAGTGGGTTGTGTCAGCTGGGCTGGGCACCCTCACCTTGATGGGTCGGTGTTCTCTCTTCGTTGAGAGGTGACGCTGGGCCCTGGCACAGTCCCACCTGAAAGCGCTGTCCCCAAAGCAAGGCAAGGACATTTGCCTCTGAACCCTGTGTGAGCAGGTGACTGACGGCTTCTCTGTGGCCGCCGTACAGCTCGTGTGTCTCAGATGTCATTTATGTTGATGTGGGTTGTAGAGCCCTTGGAGCTGGCCTTTGACCTGCTGTCTTTTGATGCCTGAAGGCTTTCTTCTTCACTGCCAAAAGGTTCTCCACCTCACCTCACCCACCCCCACCCCAGCCCCGCAGCCCTGCACCACCTGTGTCCAGAGAGCCTGAGTGCAGAGAGGCACTGGGATTGTTATGACCCTCTAACCCCGGACACGCCATTGTTGCTGGGGTATTACTGCTTCCAGGGACTGTCGGAGCATAGATGTCAGGGGTGTTGTGGGCACCCCGCCACCCTGCTTAGCCTCTGCTCTCAGTGTAAATGTGTGTGTGGGTGTGCGTGTACTTACATGTGGAAGCCAAAGATCGGTGTCACATGTGCTCCTCCTTCTCTTCTCTCCATTTTGTAGTTTGAGGCAGGGGCTCTCTGGAGCTGGACCTCACTGACTGAGCTGCACTGGGTAGCCAGCAGGCCCTTCCTGTCTGTCTCCCAGTGGTGGGATTGCAGGGACCGTACCTGGCTTTCTACATGGTTGTTGGGAATCAAACCCATGTCCTCATGTTTTCAAGGCATGCCATCTCCTCCACCCCTACTTGTTTCTTATTTAAATTCTGAGGAGCAGATGCAAACGGTAGCATGGAAGGTAGGCGTTCTGAGAGACCCTGGCAAGTTTATTGACAGTGCCTTGGCTTCAAGGAGACCACCTCCCCTAACCAGCGACGCTGCTGCTTCAGCGCTCTGTGTGGTGGCCCCACATGCAAATGAACCCAAAGGCTTGTAAGCTGGCAGGATTTATCTCCTCACCCCCATATAGGGCCACATGGCTGTCCTCTTGAGTACAGTTGACAGCCACATGCTCGCCAGTGTCGTCCGTTTCACCTTGTACCTAACAGCCAGCCAGAATACAATGCATTCTGAGGCATGCTGTCCTCTCCCACGCCTTTCTGCTCCCTTTGGGAGCTGCCCACTGCTCACAAGTTGTCCCTGTCACCAAAGGGCCTCAGATATGTAGCCTCTGGGGTTTGCTGCTTATTTGATTGATTGATTGATTGATGGGTTTCTGTGTGTTGCCCTGCTGTCCTAAAACTTCTTTGTAGACCAGGCTGGCCTCAACAGAGATCACTGGTCTCTGCCTCCCTAGTGCTGGGATTAAAGGTGTGCACCACCACCTCTTAGTTATAATTGTTTTGAGGTGGGGTCGCCTTATACAGCCCTGGCCAGCAGAGACCTCACTGTGTGGACCGGGCTTCTGGACTGGAGCTGTAGCTTAGCTGCTAGAATGCTGGCCTGGCACTCATGAGCCGCGTGTGGTGGGACACACTGTCATCCATCCCTCAAGAAGAGGAGGAAGCAGGGGGATCATGAATTCAAGGTCAGCCTGGCATGGTGGCACATGCCTTTTATCCCTGCATTCAAGAGGCAGAGAGGCAGGTGGATCTCTGTGAGTTCAAGGCCAACCTGGTCTACATACTGAGTTCCAGAACAGCCAGGGCTACATAATAGAGAGACCCTGTCTTAAAGAGAGTTCAAGACTGACCTGGGTTACGAACCAATGCCCTGTCTCAAAAATCCAGAAGTGGCCAAGTGTGGAGGCATGTGACTGATCCCAAAACAGGAGAGGCAGGCAGATTGGGACTTCAAGGTCAACCGAGTCTATTTTGTGAGCCTAAGCTCGCAAATAGACCCCTTCTCAGCCCCCTGCAAGCATCCCCAGACCCAGAAACAAGAAGATATTTGCTTGAGTGCGGCTCCGCAGGCTGTGCTTTTGATGCTCCGTTTGCTCCATGAGCTAGAGGAAGCAGGCAGTGCAGCTCGGGCATGGCGGTGGGGAGGGCGCCCCTGTGCTTAGGTGTCTCAGAGAGGCTGAGGCCTGTTCCATCAGGGACAGGGCGGATGAGAGCACCTGAACACTGTCACCCGACTGCACCCTCCCTCTGTAACCTGCACTTGTGGCTCATGTGGAGGCAGCCCCTGGAGGGGTGGCAGGCTCGGAGTCTGAGCCACACGCTGTTGCTGGGCATGCCTTCCACCTACCCACGGGCTCAGATAGCTGAACTGGGGCACATTATCAGTTAGGAAGGGGCAGGGTGGAGTTCAGGTCCTTACTCAAGCAAAGCGAGTTGTTGAAGCCCTCTGTGAGTTGACAACCCCAGGGTAGCCATGATGCCACAGCAAGCTGAAAGTCCTGACCTGATGCCCACAGCACTGGCCGGGAGCTGACCTTCCAACCGGGATAGAATGTGTCATAATATGAGACACAGGACACATGTCTCTAAGCTGAGAGAGGCATTTGCCTACATGTGTGTCTGTGTACCTTGTGTATGTCTGGTACCCAAAGGACCAGAAGAGAGCATTGGATCCCCTAGAACTGGACTTACAGATGGTTGGGCTGCAGTGTGGGTGCTGAGAACCGAAGCCGGGGCCTTCAGAGCTGAGTCGTCTCCGCCACCTATTTACTTTGTTTGCTTGTTTGTTTTTCAAGGCAGGGTAGTCCTGGCTGTCCTGGAGCCCCCTCTGTAGACCAGGCTGGCCTCGAGCTCACAGAGATCCACCTGCCTCTGCCTCTGAGTGCTGGGATTAAAGGTACCACCATGCCTGGATTACTTTTTTTATGTGTACTGGTATTTTCCTGGATGTATGTCTGTACCATGTGTGTACAGTGTAGGAATCACAGAAGGAGCCAGCTCACTAACACCTGGATGAAGCCTTTCCTCTTCTGCTTTATAGGAGTGCTACCCTCCATACACTCACTAACGTACACATGCACACACATACTCATGCACACACACAGGGACACATGCATGTACACACGGACACGGACACGCGGGCACAGAGCATTGATGCAGTACTGTGACAGATCCCAGTGATAGGCTGTTTAATAGTTTTACTGTGGAGGAGGGCAGGGAGAGGAAGCATGTAGACGAGAGGATGAGTTGTAGGATTGAACTCAGGCCACCAGGCCACCAGGCTTGGCTGCAAGCTCCTTTACCCACTCGCCATCTCGCCAGCCCTGCACCTACTGACCCCTCCCCAGCACTTCAGGACGCCCACCCAACCCTGTCTGTGTCCCATGTGGCTGTCAGCTTCTGTCCACATGTGCTGCACCGCCCTGGCACCCTCTCCTCAGCCAGGGCTGTGCTCCCGAAGATGACATTTGGGTCAGTGTCCCCGTGGGTTCCCAGGTGTCCCTGAACCAGTGTAGCACTAAAGGGGCCACAGAGATGACTTGGAGTCTCCAAGTGTTTCCTGCTCTTGCAGAAGACCTACACTGGGCAGCTCAGACTTCATGTGACACAAGCTCCAGGGATCTGACGCCCTCAACCTGGACTCCTAGGACACTGCACTCCCACACACTCGTTACGTGAATTCTAATTGGTACGAATAATAAAAACCCAGAGACAGATGTTGGGGTTAAAGCTGAAGATTGGAGAAGCAAAGCGGCAGCCACTAGACAGCTCTTACCTCTACCAGTGCTCGGACCGAGCGGGCAACCCCTGAGCTCAGACTGCATCCGTCTGCGTCTGTCTCCACGCCTCAGACGGCACCGAGCTCCTGTCTCCTCCCACCTTATAGTCCTCTCTGGTGCTGGGATTAAAGGTGTGGGACCCCAAGTGCTGAGATCACCTTTGTGTGTATGTATGTGAGTTCCATTTCTCTGCTGGACTGGATGGATTTTGTGTAGCTCAGGTGACCTAGAACTAACAGAGATCCGTCTTCCTCTGTATCCCAAGTGCTGGGATTAAAGGTGTGGCCACCACTCCCTGACCTCTATGGCTGTGGCTAGCTTTGCCCTCTGATCTTCAGGCATGCTTTATTTGTTAGGTCATAAACAAAATATCACCACAAACACATACCCACACCCAGACACACATGCACACACAACATACCCACACCCAGACACACATGCACACACAACATACCCACACCCAGACACACATGCACACACAACATACCCACACCCAGACACACATGCACACATAACAAAGTTTTTAAAATGATGCCCAGCTATGGTGCCAGGGTCACTTGGTCCTGGCTGTTTTTCTCTGCAGAGAGCACATCGGGTCTGCCTGTCTCTTCCATCTAGCCATGAGCATCCGGCAGCATCAGGAGGAGGACCCTCCCGACGCTCAGCTCCTGAGGCTGGACAGCATGCTGCTGGCTGAGGGTGTGTCCAGGCCAGAGAAGAGAGGACGAGGAGCAGCAGGCACCGCAGCAACCCCAGGTGGCTGTCCAAATGACAATAGCATTGAGCACTCAGACTACAGGGCCAAGCTGTCCCACATCCGACAGATTTACCACTCTGAGCTAGAGAAGTACGAACAGGTGATCTTTCTACATGCAAGAGTTTCTCATGGGAGTGTGCATTGGCCACAGCAGGGTGTGGACGCTGACCCCCCTCCTCTGTGGCAGAGCAGAGACAGCCTGCTGTGGTCAGTCACTGCAGAGGTGGCTGGTGTTACTGAAAGCCCTTTTCCTTCCCTCCTCAGAAGCTGACCTGCGTGTGAGCTGTGGGGGTGTGAGCCTACTGCCCTGCACCCGGCTGCTTAGTCACAGGCTGGCCCATCTTTTCCCACCCCAGGCCTGTCGTGAGTTCACCACACATGTCACCAACCTTCTCCGGGAACAGAGTAGGGTGAGGCCTGTGTCCTCCAGGGAAATGGAGCACATGGTGGGCATCATCCATGGCAAGTTCAGTGCTATCCAGAGGCAGCTGAAGCAGAGCACCTGCGAGGCTGTCATGACTCTGCGCTCACGGCTCCTGGATGCCAGGTCAGGGCTGCACGCCGCGGGTTCCCTAAGGGTTGCCTGTGGAATAGAAGCAGGCCAGTGCTATCTCTGGCGTCTGCCTTGTTCTGTGCTGCGGAGGGTTAATCCGGGGACTTTGTACTAAGCTCATGTCTCCCCACCATTGAGCCTCCCCAGCCCTGTTCTGGGCTTAAGTCCATGCAGAGATCTTAGCTAGGCCCCATGCAGCTTCTCTGGGAGAAGAACCAAAGTCCTGACTGCTGGTGTGTGTTAGCATGTGTGTGAATGGCAGGTGAGTGTGTGCGGGGACACACGGTGTAACTGTCAGAGGACAGCCTCGGGTATTGGTCTTTATGTCCTGTGTGTCACCGTCTGCCAGGCTGGGTGGTCCTCCAGCTGCAGGGGGTTCTGCTGTGTGCCGCCCATCTTGCCATAGGAGCACGGCAACCACAGACACGCCCTGACATACATGGCTCTTGCATGGGCGCAGAGAACTCATCGGGTCCCCAAACTTGCTCATTGTCCCCTGGGGCATCTCTCAAGCCCCTAGCTGCTGTTTTAAAAACTGCAGAAGATCAGGAATGAGAGACAGCTCAGTCAGTAAAGTGCCATGCACACAGAAGGACCTGGTTTATACACCCGGTGCCTACACAAAAGCAGGCATGGGCCAGCAGGACGGCTCAGGAGGTAAAAACTTGTTGCAAAAGTCTCAGGGCCTGAATTTGATGCCCAGAATGACCCAAACCTGCAGGGATACAGGTCCTGAGTGGTGAGTGTCAGCTGGAGGAGAGGGGAGGACAGATAAGCAATATTTGGGACCGGGAGGCCTTGCATAAGCTGAGGATTCACACCAAGCTGGGTTATTAAAAAGTGTAGCATCCATCCAGGAATGTAAAAATAAGTTAATAAAAAACAGTCATATAGCACCCTGTATACTGTTTGCAGGGGGAATGGCCAGGGTTAGCAGAGCTAAACCAGACAGTGTCGGCAAAGCCATGCGGCATCTCAGACACAGCTGCTGAAGGACTGAGGACCACAGTCCAGGGGAAAGTGGGGTCCCCAGCAGCTGCAGCCTTGACTGCTCTGAGGCAGTGGCCTTGTCAAGTCCACTCCTGGACACGGACACGAAACTGTTGTTCCCTCTGTCCTTTCATCAAGGCCTCTGAGACACCCTGGATTGGTCGGACTCTCCACACCGGACGCCGTGATGGAGAGAACCACCTGCCAGAAAGTTGTCCCTTGACCTCTGCCTGCATGTCATGGCACGCGTGCACCTGTGTGTGCAGACAGACAGACACGCGCACGCACACACTAATAAAAAAAGAAAGCTGCAGCTGCAGTGGGAACGAGGAGACAGGCAGATGTGGGGTCCAGGTTGAGTGGAGACCTTCCTAAAGAAGCGCGTGGAGAGTGACAGAGAGGACACGGGACGCCAGTCTCTGGCCTTGACATGCACGCACACAGACTGTGAGGAGAGGGGGATGTGACAGTTGTGACTAGAGTCTCATCATGAGAACACTGCACACTGGGGTCTCTCCGCAGGCGGAAGCGGCGGAATTTCAGCAAGCAGGCCACCCAGGTGCTGAACGAGTATTTCTATTCCCATTTGAGCAACCCCTACCCCAGCGAGGAGACCAAAGAGGAGCTGGCCAGGAAGGGCGGCATCACCGTGTCCCAGGTGAGCCTGTCTGCCCCGGGGGTGGGGAGGACTCCCGGGGAATTACTGCTGCGTGGGGAGGAGTCCCAGGGAAGTTACTACTGCGTGGGGAGGACTCCCGGGGAGTTACTACTGCGTGGGGAGGACTCCCAGGGAGTTACTACTGCATGGGGAAGACTCCCGGGGAGTTACTACTGCGTGGGGAGGAGTCCCGGGGAGTTACTACTGTGTGGGGAGGAGTCCCGGGGAAGTTACTACTGCGTGGGGAAGACTCCCGGGGAGTTACTACTGCGTGGGGAGGACTCCCGGGGAGGTTACTACTGCGTAGGGAGGAGTCCCGGGGAAGTTACTACTGAGTGGGGAGGACTCCCGGGGAGTTACTACTGCGTGGGGAGGACTCCCGGGGAGTTACTACTGCGTGGGGAGGAGTCCCGGAGAAGTTACTACTGCGTGGGGAGGACTCCCGGGGAGTTACTACTGCATGGGGAGGACTCCCGGGGAAGTTACTTCATGTGTGGGGAGGACTCCCGGGGAAGTTACTTCATGTGTGGGGAGGACTCCCGGGGAAGTTACTTCATGTGTGGGGAGGACTCCCGGGGAAGTTACTTCATGTGTGGGGAGGAGTCCCGGGGAAGTTACTACTGCGTGCGGAGGACTCCTGGGGAAGTTACTTCATGTGTGGGGAGGACTCCTGGGGAAGTTACTTCATGTGTGGGGAGGACTCCCGGGGAAGTTACTTCATGTGTGGGGAGGACTCCTGGGGAAGTTACTTCATGTGTGGGGAGGACTCCCGGGGAAGTTACTTCATGTGTGGGGAGGACTCCCGGGGAGGTTACTTCATGTGTGGGGAAGACTCCCGGGGAAGTTACTTCATGTGTGGGGAGGACTCCCGGGGAAGTTACTTCATGTGTGGGGAGGACTCCCGGGGAAGTTACTTCATGTGTGGGGAGGACTCCCAGGGAAGTTACTTCATGTGTGGGGAGGACTCCTGGGGAAGTTACTTCATGTGTGGGGAGGACTCCTGGGGAAGTTACTTAGTATTTGGTGCTGGCCCCATGTGCCACCTGGCACAGCTCAGATCCCAGCTTGCACTGTAAATTAGAGCATTGGTGGAATTCTGCCCCCTCCTGGAAGAAAATAGCAAGGCACGGGCTCCGCTGTGAGCTCTAGGAGACGGTGACAGCGGGGCCCCGTGGGGCTCCGTGGTTGCTGCAGGAGCGGCGTGTGACAGGGGCTCCCTTGGGCTGTGTGGTGGAGTGCGACCCTGACCTTGTGGCGTGGCTGTGTGGCCAGAGTGCCAAGAGAACATTCCTGAAGGCTTGAAGGTGGCCCAGTCAGTTCACACAGCAGGCAGGCCAGACCCCGTCAGCGAGCAGCGTGGACAGTGTGACTGTGGTCTCAGGTCACACAGTAAGGCCCCCACAGCCATCTGACACGCCCTGTTCCTCCTTGCTTCACGCTGGAAAGGCTGTGTACCCCTTTTGGGGTCACTCTTCGGCCCTTGCCAGGCTGCTGGAGATGTGTCTCTGTGACAGAACCGAGTCATGCAGGGACTGCTGCGGCACCCTCAGAGCAACCCAGGCTGAGGGCAGGGCCTGCACTCTACATGAAGCATACGCGTGGCTGCCGCTTGGGTGCCACAGACAGGGTCTGAGGGTTTCACTGCTCTGAAGAGACGCCATGAGCACCGCAGCAGCTCTTCTGAGGGAAGCGTTTCACTGGGGCGGACTCATAGTTCAGAGAGTTAGTCCATGTCATTCGTCATGGTGGCGTGCAGGCAGACACGAGGCTGGAGACGGAACTGAAGGGGGGGAGGAGGAGGAGGAGGAGTGAAGGGGAGGAGGAGGAGTGAAGGGAGGAGGAGGAGTGAAGGGGAGGAGGAGGAGGAGTGAAGGGAGGAGGAGTGAAGGGGAGAAGGAGGAGGAGTGAAGGGAGGAGGAGGAGGAGTGAAGGGGAGAAGGAGGAGGAGTGAAGGGAGGAGGAGGAGGAGGAGTGAATGGGGGAGGAGGAGTGAAGGGGAGGAGGAGGAGGAGGAGTGAAGGGAGGAGGAGGAGGAGTGAAGGGGAGAAGGAGGAGTGAAGGGAGGAGGAGGAGTGAAGGGGAGGAGGAGGAGGAGGAGTGAAGGGGAGGAGGATGAGGAGGAGTGAAGGGGAGGAGGAGGAGGAGTGAAGGGGGGAGGAGGAGTGAAGGGGAGGAGGAGGAGTGAAGGGAATAGCAGGCGGTAGTAGTGAAGGGGCTGGCAACGGGGCGGCCCAGGCAACTTTCCCATCACTACACACGTGCGTACACGCATGCACACAGGCACATATGCACACACACGTATGCACACACACATGCACATATACACACATGCACACACCAGACATGCACATGCTACACATGCGCACGCTTGCACACATGCACATATGCACACATACACACACACACCAGACATGCACATGCTACACACACACACCCGCACACACGCAAAGCACCCATGCACATAGAATGGAATGGTCTTAGAAAGAGAGTCGTGAGCATGCCTGGAAGATACGTGGCCTCAGCGCCATCCAGGTCTACGAGGAAGGCAGCCACCCTCCTTGCAGTACAGAGAGCCTTCTTCCTGTGTTGTTCAGCTAGGTTGGGTTGGGCTTCGAGCCAGGTCTCACTCTAGCTCAGGCTGACCTGGAACTCACTGTGTTGCCCAGGATACTTCGAGTTCACAGGAATCCTCCTGCTCAGCCTCCTCACTGTAGGATAGCAGGTGTGAGCCATCAAGCCATGTCTTTTGTTGTAGTGGTGGTTATTTTTTATATTCACAGATTTATGGTTTATGTTTATGTATTTCTTATTTGTTTGTGCACACCCCATGCATTGGTCCTTGTGCCTATCACTGTGTGTGGCGCCTGTCCCTGCAGGAATGTGGGACTCAGAGGACAACGTGTTTCTCTCCTGCTACCACGTGGTTCCTAGGAATTGATTTCGGGTCTTAGACTTAGCAGCAAGAACCTTTACCTAGTATGCCTTCTCTCCAGCCCCCAGCCTCCTTTTTGTTTGTTTGTTTTTGTTTTGGGTGGTTTTTTGTTTGTTTTTTCAAGACAGGGTTTCTCTGTGTAGACCAGGCTGTCCTGGAACTCGCTCTGTAGACCAGGCTGTCCTGGAACTCACTCTGTAGACCAGGCTGTCCTGGAACTCACCCTGTAGACCAGGCTGGCCTGTCTCTTCCTGGAAGGCGTGTGCCACCACCACCCAGCAAGCATGACCCACACCAGGACTCTATCCATTATCTGGGCATCTGTCCACAGGTCTCTAACTGGTTCGGCAACAAAAGAATCCGGTACAAAAAGAACTCGGGGAAGCTCCAGGAAGAGGCTACCATGTACAGTGAGAAAACGTCTGTGGCCACCAAGGTCCGGGGCTCAGGGGGTCAGACCAGCTGCCAGTCCACACCCAGCCCAGGTGACAACGCCATGGCCTCCTTATCTGTAAGCTTTGGGGGTTAGGTTGACTCACACCACCTGATCCTAGACAGCCAGTGCCAGCAGAGGGACAAGAGTGTCTGTCACCTTAGCCTCACGGGCCAGTGACACCCACACAGGGCTGGGGAAAAGGCAGGTGGCTCCATGCTTTAGGACATCAGCTCCTGAGTGCTTTTAATGAGGAACTAGGCAGTTGCCACCCAGACATCCCTGTGACTGCTGATCCAGCTTCTGCAGTGACTTACACCCCCACCCCCACCATGCCAACCGGACGCTACCCGCTTCTCACAGGTTCCTGTGGTCCCTTCCCCCTGACCAGTGGAGGTGACATGGTTCTCACCCTTCGGACCCTGGCCTTCCTCCAGCCCCCCCCTGGGGGAGCCTTCCTCCAGCCCCCTGGGGGAGTCTGCCTCCAGCCCCCGGTGAGTCAGCTGCAGCCAACCAGGAACCCCTCCAGGGCTTTGGGAAAGTGGACAACCCTAATGCTGGGTCTTCGGGGAAGGAGACTTCGAGGGAAAGTGGGGTCTTTAGCCTCTGGACTCAGAGCCATCTGTCACTGGGGACTGGACAGAGCCATCTGTCACTGGGGACTGGACAGAGCCGTCTGTCACTGGGGACTGGAGACCTGGGAGCCGGTGTCTCACCTGGAAAAGGCAGCAGCTGCCAGACCGCGGTTTGGTCACTGGGGTCTAAACAGCCAAGCTGCCTCTAGAGATTTCTCAGGGTCTCACCTGGGTCCCTGTAGGCCCTGTGACCTTCCAGTCTGTCCTGAGGGTCTGACCAGTGTCCTGTGGAGGGCCTGTGAGGGCCCTGCATAAACAGACTGAACCCTGGCATGGTGGCACTGGCCATGGCCCCATGAGTCCCGTGGGCTTCCCAGAGGCTCCCTATGAAGCAGCCCTGGGGCTCAGGACAGTGACGGGCCGGGCTCACTCTGGCCCTGTCTGCCGTCACTGTGAGGCCCAGCCTGACACAAGCTACAGGCTGCAAGGCCATCTGGGCTAAGGTGACCTGGGACAGAACCGGTGGGGTGGGGACTGCATGACGCACCAGCCAGCCCTGCCCTGGACCAGCACAGAGCAGAGGGAGGGTCAGACCTGGGGTGACGCCCTGCCCTGCAGGCACCCCACCTGCACCTCCTTTAATGTGATCCAAGCAGACCCTTTGTTTGCTTGTTTGAGACAGGGTCTCTGCATAGCCCTGGCTGTTCTGGAACTCACTATGTAGACCGGGCTGGCCTCAAACTCACAGAGGTTTCCTGCCTCTTCCTCCCGAGGGCTGGGATTTCCAAGCCAACATTCACCTGTTCACCTGGCTCTTCTTAAAGGTCACTGTCATCGTGGCCACTGTCCATTACCCAGGTGTCTCAGCCATGACCTCACTCATAGCCTCTGCCACACCTGCTCTGCCTGGTGGTGCCATGTGTGAGGCAGCGTTTTCTGAGCTCAGCCCGCCAGTCCTCACAGAGCGGCTCCAGGGTGCTGTGCCGGGCACCCTGCAGACGGGAAGGCGGCTGCCCCGTGAGGAAGGGTTCTTGTGGTCCATGAGCCCCGGCTGTGCCATCGGCCACCGTGGCGAGACTCTTGGTCCTGACATACTGTGCGGCATTTCGTGCATCTCTTTCTGAAACTCACCTGCTAGAAAGGTCTGAGTACCCTGGGGACACAGGGGCTGGGTGGTCACCTACTCTCAGTGTCTTTCAGGCCCACAGCAGCTGGCAGAGAGCCACCACCCCACAGGCAGCCTCATCACCTGCTGAAGACTCTGGAAGCTTCAACTCAGATGTGTCTAATTAAGTTTTGGGAACCTGGTTGAGTGCCATGGGTGACTGGCCCTGTATCCTGCTGATTACCTCAGAAACCCCGGTTGTGGAGATGCCCTTTTCCTGGCCACCCACCTGCCTGCCTTGGAGTGATTTTAACACCAGTTTGGTGGCCGACAGTGGCTGCTCATCTAGGGCTTTGTTGCGAGCGCCCTTTAATTAAAGTGTTTGACTTGTCTGCATTCCTTCGTTTTCAATCCAGGCTTGTCTAGGTGACTGGTGACCACCCAGATGCCATCACCAGCTCTAACACCTCCTGACCCCTGCTTCGTTTCAGCTAACGGGCTGAGTTCCCACCATGGTCCCCTGCCACCTGAAGCCTTGTCCCGTTTTCCTCAGCTAAGGGGGCCTCCTCTCAACCTTCATCTGGCCTGTCCCCCCACCACCCAATGTCCCTGTGTCCCTGACTCCACCCTGTCAGTCACCATTACAACAGTGACAACATCCTGGGGGTAGCCCATGGCAAGCGAGAACCATCTTGTCTCTGGGACCCAGGCAGCACTTTCCACCATTTATCTGCACGTGCGAGTGTGTCATGCTGCACTCTGCTGACCCTGAGGACTGAGGGGTGGCCCTCAACTGTCACATGTCGTGACAGAGCACTCTCATCCACCAAAGGATGCCGCATCCCCCCACCTCCCCAACCCCTGGTGGCCCCTCACCTGCTATAGCGTCACTGGGCCCACGCACTCCACGTGGTCTTCCATATCTACACCCTGTCGCTGGTATTTTTTAGGTTTCACTGCATTCTAGAATAGATCAGAGTGTCTTTTTAAATTTTGGGAGGGATGGGGGTTGCAAACAGGGTTTCTCTGTGTAGCTCTGGCTGTCCTGGAAATTCCCTTTGTAGACCAAGTTGGCCTCGAACTCAGAGATCCACAGGCCTCTGCCTCTGGAGTGCTGGGATCAAAGGCGTGCACCACCAACGCTCCACCTGGGTGCAGCTAGTGTTTGTAACCATTGAGCTATTCTTCTGTTTCTCATTCTTGTTCACAGCTGAGTGAACAAGAGGAAGTTGTCTTTGGAGACACCACAGCTGAGGTGCAGGGCAGCTGAGGGCAGTGGTCACCGTCCCCTTCACACCCTTTGGGTGCACAGTCTTGGACTGAACTCTCAGGCTGCATGGAAAAAAACTTCAGATTCTGGAAGCTTCTCTAGGTGAGCTGAGCACAGGAACAGGTAGAGAAAGGGTATTGGGTATTGCCTGCACAGACAGGGAAGAGCCAGCATCATCCTACAGCCGTTAACCGGGCAAGAGCCAGCATCATCCTACAGCCGTTAACCTGAAAAGAGCCAGCATCATCCTACAGCTGTTAACCGGGCAAGAGCCAGCATCATCCTACAGCCGTTAACCTGAAAAGAGCCAGCATCATCCTACAGCCGTTAACCCCTCCCTTTGAGGCTCCCACAGTCCCTGTGGCGTCTGGATGGAGAACTGAGTGAGGATTCCTCAGGAAAACTGGCTCAAGGGAGGGAGACTGAAGAAGCCATGCAAATACGATGCAATTTTAATGCAAATGAGCGGGACCATGCAAGTTACAGAAACAGCAGAAGAGGGTTTAGGGAGACAGGAGCTGCGTGACAAAATTGAGAAGGGTGAATGGCACTCCTTGTGGGATTAGCCCAGGAAGCTCCACTCACACAGGCCTCCAGCAGTCGCCGTGGATGGCATCTTCTTTAATTCCCCAAGCATGCTCTGGCGTCACCTAGGGTCCCCTCGGGTGAGACCCTGACCTACACTCCTCAAGTCGTGGGGATAATAAGCAGGGCTGGCTGAAGGTTCCCACTCTCTTCCTCCACCAAACTTTTTTGGCATGTTACCCAAGGACTCACCCCTCCAGCCACTCTCCGGGGACGGCGGAATGAGGGGGGTAGGACCTGGGTGTTACTGGAGATGGCAGATTTTACCTTCAAGAATTTCCATGGCGACATCGTGGGTACATTCAAGCCATGGTGAATGACAGGATGGTAGAGCAGGAGAGTGAATAACCAGAATCAACCAAAAGCAGGAGGGGCCATAGGGAACCTCAGACTGCAGTTATGTCTTTAGCCACGAGGGGGAGCAGCCAACCTAAAAAAAAAAAAAAACCTTAAATCCTGTAGCCACACTCCACCAACCATCTAAATAGACTGGAAGGAAACCTCTGAGCTTCAGTTTCCCTATCTGTAACATGGGGAGGTCACAAGAACAGCCTTCCGGGAGAGGTCAGCATCCAACTCAGACTATCATTGTAAAGCACGACTGCTGGGCTGAGCCCTAGGGTCTGGGGACCAGCAGAGCCCAGGTGTCCCAGGGCCCGGGCATCGGCACGCAGATGGGGTGGGGGGGTGACGGCGGGGTGCTCGGCCTGTTCTCCCAAGGTGGCCAGTATCCGGCCTGCTGAGGCTGCCCGGTCCAGCAGCAGGTGCCCTGCCAACGACATTCCTCAGTGCCGGGTGCCAGGCGGCTGCTCCTGCTGGATGAAACGTAAGCTGGGCCTGGCCGTGTGGGACTCGTGTTTTTCCAGCAGCTTCTTCAGCCACAGCCTGACCACAACCTAGATTCCATAGGGCTAGCCATTCCGTGTTTGTGTTCAGCCTGGCCAGACAGTAGCGGGGCCAGGCCGGGGGCCCTGGCCTCCCAGAGGGTCTGGCTGCCCAGCCTGAAGCATGCTCTCCTCCCACGAGAAGCCCTGTCCTAGCTACTTAGCTGGTATTTCCTTTTCCTTGTTGTTTTTGTTTTGAGACAGGGTCTCTCTATATAGCTCTTGCTGGCCTGGAACTCACAATAGTAGAGGATGACGAGGATTCCTGATCCTTCTGCCTCCACCCCTGCAGGACTGGGATGACAGGTGTGTGCCCACCTGCTGGCCTTGGCTTGTGAGCCTTCGAGTCAGTTTGGGGTGGGTGGCAGCCGCTGCTGAACCTACAGGCCGGGATTATGTGTAACGGGCCCACTTGTCTGTGACTCGTTTCTGTGTCCCGGCTGAGAACAGGGATCGATTAGGACATAGACACACACCTTTAACCCCACACTGGTGACCCTGAAGCAGGAGGCTCTCAAGTGTTGTCCCAGCTGATGTCAAGCAGACAGTGAGTAGCTTATGTTCAAGTGTTGGCAAGGTCTAGCCCAATCCAGCGCTGGCTTGAGCACTAAGGTCACAGCCATGCGCCCCTGCAGTTTCTGTGCACAGGGCTTTGCTTCGTGTCCCGGACCTGAAGCTGAGGGCAGAGGCTGAACCTACCGACAAAGTTGTGGACCAGACTTCACCCCACCCCCACAAACCCTCACAAACAAAAGGAAAACTAAACTCAAGACTTTGTCTTTCAAGTCTAGTCTAGAAAACTATTCATCCTTGAAAGCCCATATTGAAAATTCCCTGTCCCCCAGACCCTGACCCTACAAGAAGGAGCTTTTGTGCCTGCTTTGCATTGACTCTCTGACTGCAGCTCCTAGGGGTCATTATCTGAGTACAGCTCTACATGTAGCGGTCTCGGGAGTAGGGTGTGCCCTGTGTGCGTCAGGATCCAACAAGACTGTGGGCTAACCTGTAGACTTCATGAAACAGGCTTGGATAGCCTGGCCCTCGGGGAGTTCGTGTCTCCAGAAACCCTCAGGCAGGAAGAAGGAGTGGGAGCTGTGGCCTCACCTCTGCCTGGCTGGTCCTCAGCCTGGCTCAGCCGTGCTCCAGCCCCGTCTGGGGCCAGGCAGCCTTTGAGGACATAGCTGAGGTTTGGCGGAGCTGCCGTCTGCAGGGCTGAGTCAGCATAGGGAGGGAGTCAGGCCTCTACTGCAAAAGCAGCTGGGGTCGTGGAGGCTGGGGTCCCAGCCCACTCCGTCCGTGAACTTCAAGAGGGTGGGGTGTAGGCAGGAGAGACCCTGAGGCTGCCAGCTGAGCTCACAGTGGGACACAGGCACAAGTGGGGGTAGTGTGGCCTCGGGGGCTCCACAGAGGTGACAGTGCCGCCTAGTGCATGCACAGCGTCCCAGGATGATAGGCACTAGTTAGCAGTCCAGAAGGTGCTGGGGGTGGGGGAGAAGGGAATATCTGACGGTAAGGGACAGAGATCGGGCGTGGTCAGGAAAGCCCGACCTTGGGCCCGATGACAGTCAGGCGTGTTGGCTCTGACTGGGTCTATGCCTGGACAGTGGCCCTGGATGAGGCCATGTCTGTCTCCCCATGTCTCTGTCCCTCTCTCCATGCGGGTCCCCCTCCTGATGACCTGCTAATGCCCCCATCTGGGGCCTGGGCCCTGTTCCCATCCCCAGGCCTCATCCCTCAGTGTCCCTGCAACCCCACTAACTGGAGCCAGCGTCTGCGACCAGGACAGACCGATCCCTGAGGCTGAGGGGAGAGACAGTGGGGAGTGGTGGGTGGCCGCCAGGCCCACGAGGCCATCACAGGAGAGCCAGAGATGTTCTGCCAGGACTGGGCTGTGGAAAGAGAATTCTGGGCCATGTGAGAAGAACAGACCCCAGGGAACCTGTCCTAAAAGAGAGTAGAGCTCACGGGGCTGCAGGAGTAGGGTCTCCTGAAAGCTGTAACTCAGGCTGGGCCGGCAGGACAGCTCAGAGAGTCAAGGTGCCTGAGGAGCTGAGTTCAGTCTCTGGGACCCCACACACGGACAGCGAGGGAGGGCGAGAGGGACGCTGACCTCTCGAGGTTCCTCGCTCTAGAAACTGCCGCCCTCCCCGTGTCTTTCTGTCCTCCTAGACTGCATGTGTCCCCGCCGCCTGCCCCTCCTGCCTCAACTGCTTACCAAACTTACACACCCCTCAAAACCCAGTTCCTAGCTGGGCATGGTAGCTCCTGTCCTTCAGTGCTGAGGTAGAAGCAAGATGAGAAGTTTAAGGCTATCCTTGGCTGCATAGTGAATTTGAGGTTAGCCTGATCTACATGAAGTCCTGTCTCTAAAAAACCAACAGAAGCCCCAGGTCAGTGTCCACACTAGCTGAGGCTTTCGGCGATGAAGCAGGACCCAGGCATTCTCCCTAAAAACAAAGCTTGGGACCCCAACATACTACACATGCATTAAGCTCCCTCAGAGCAAGTCAGCCTCCTGGGCCACACCCTCGCGCACGTCTGTCTCGCCACCCTTCCTCTTGGATTCCGCGTTTCCAGACTTGTTTTAAGTGTTTCACTGCTCCAAGATTTTTTCTTCATCACAGGAATTTTAAGAACCCCTGGTTCTAAAATTATAA